CAAACCAAACCAAACCGTCCCGTGCTACAGCACAGCGAGAGCTCTAAGGAGAGCTCGTCCCCCAGGATTCGGCTGCAGTTTAGCAGGCGCAACACTAGTACCAGCAGTACCTTTCATAATAAAAACAGAGGTTTCGTTATATGAATAAAATTACATCTGTCTGCGCATTCGATTATTTTAATATGCTGTATTCTTACAAAAATGGAAGAGTGGCTTTCCAGCTAAGTTGCCACGGATTCTTTTATTTGATTTTGCGTAATACAAGCACTCCGGTGTGGGACCAGCATACTTAACCAAATCATTTACTTCTCTTTAGGAGATTAAAAATATATTAGCTTTATACTTTCTCCATGCACCATCCTATGTGTAGTCTGAGCGGGTACTCTGTGACTGACTCGATATTCTAATAATGGTTCAAAAGACATTAACCGCAGCACAACTTTGTAACGTTAACATTTCTGGAGGAAGCTACATCAGTATTCCCAAATAAAACATACTACAATATATTTTTACAGTATTTTTGTGGCAAATACTTTCTTTTGGACTGAATAAAATTAAACTGACCATCTGCTTGTAAGACTTTTATTTGACGAACAATTCACATATCAGACAGGGTCTTGTTATCATGAGCTCAGAATATAAGCCCCTCCACATAAATTTCAGAAGCAACTGCACACGCACATCAAAGTCTGCTAATTCAGACGCATAGTCTTGCTAAAATAGCGTGGGTCCTTTTCAAGCAGGGACGGCGCTACTGGCATTCCCTGGGGATTGTTGGGTTTTTCAGTGAAATGCAGTAGCTGAACATTAGTGCGCCGTTTGCACAAAGATAATGGAATGAACAGCATTTTTCTAAACAGATTAAGAATAGCCATTGCTTAAGAATCTAAAACATAAATATTAAAAAAAAAGACTCAGGAAAGTTTACATTTCTTACAGACTCACTGTTAAATGGCTGACTTTCCCTATCATTTGGGAAGGAAGAGGAAAGAGGGATTTTTGTATATACTGTTATATATGCAACTATATTGTAATATATAAGATACCGTATTTGTAATGGCCTAAATTATCTCTTTGCCACCCAGTGTACAGCTAAGAAGCAGAAAGCTTAGGAAAACCTGAATGGGAAACAGAAACAGAGAAGAGCTGTAGTTGGCAGAACAACTTAATGGCTTAAGTACCCAACTTAATCTCACCCAACACATACATTTGTTAGGGTATGTTACGTAAAAGGACTAGAGGAGCCATGGAGCAGCAAACATTTCATGTTTTGCCTTGTCATCATGTTTTGCCCTGTATCATCAGTACACATTGCTGTGTTCTCTCTTTTTCACAAATTTTTCCGCCCTGCAGACAGTGAAACTTCCTATTCAGGATGTTCATGGACACAAAGACAAAGTGCAACCAGACCTGACAGTACAGCTAAACCCCAGCCACGTGCAGTACTAGGGGCTAGGTTCACCTCTACCTTAAAATCATTAGAGACTCACTGACAGCAGCAGTGGATGCTGCGAGGCGTTCAGAGGGCGTTCTGAGACAGTTACTTCTTCACCACTATGAGACAAGGAAAAACTCTCTAGCAATTTTTGAGATCAAGAAAAACTCATTCTAAAGTTTAATCAAACTTAATGGCATTTAAAAAAAAATTTGGTTTTACAAGCCAATCCATGTAAGTAGAACTGTACTGAAGGCTCTGGTGGTGGTAGGACATTTGAAATGATGCCTACATCACATAGCAAGACCAAACATTAAATCAATAGAACAATTTCTTGCTGTCAGACTAATGTGTCAGTCTGACCTTTTATTTAAAATATTACTGAACACCATGAATTTAGCATGTCTTGCATTTTCTTTTGTAGCTCTGACTGTTTTACAGCCTGAAGTATATTTCCTGTTCATTGTACAGAGAAGAATCTGAGGCACAACCCCAATTTAGCAGATTGGTGACAGGAACAAGAATACCAAGGACTCTTGACTTCCTGCCTACTAGGTCACCCTTTAACCATGCTGCTGCTCTAACCTAAGAGTCAATTGCAAAAAGTAAATGGTAGCCATGGTGTACTAGCAGTAAGAATAACAATTTTCCTTGAAGTCTTTTCCCCTTGCTAAGCAGTCATCGTTATTTTGTCATTACGGTAGCATAAACAAGAGAATGCTCCTGAATGCAAAAAATTAGACATACGCGTTGCAGATAGGCTAGAAAAAGACTGTTATCACACTACTATCAATTTGTACGTCCTGAAATTAAGTAGCTGTATAATGTGTCAATAGGCTTGGTCTTTACAGCTTGAGATCGTTGTTTCCCAGTGGCTTAAAGCAATCATCCACAAATTCATCACTGACTTCTTCTAAAGCAGCTGGCTTCCATCTTGGGAACTGGTCTTTGTCAGTCAGTACTATCAGGTGAAGTAAAAAAACACAAAGTCACTTGTAAACTTTCTCCAGTTAAGATGAGTGCAGATTGCCTCAAGACAGGAGACTACAGTGAATATGAGCGAGGAGAAAAAATCAATATGCTCTGGAAAAGATGGAGTTTTAGGAATGCTTACATTTTTACTCCAATAGTTCTTGAGTTATGACCAGTTCTTGAGTTGCGTTATGACCTGTGTAGAGATGTATCTGGGAGCTGCTTGATGAATCCTGTATTACTTCAGAAAGAGCCAATCCCATTAAGGGTATCTGGGCACCATTAGGTACCCAAACTTTGAAGGAAGGAATAAGCCTTAAATTAATGGTTTCCTGTCAGACCTATACCCCTGTCTTCTGCTTCGTCATTTCAAATGGGGAACTGCATGCACGATGCTTCTTTTGGGCACGGGCTATTACATCTCTGTGCAAAATCTGACTCTCGTAGAGTACAGGAGATGACTCAAAGCAGGTGTTAAATTCCTATGGCTAATTTAAACACATTATATAAACTAATCATGAAATAACTAATGAGGAAAGAGTATAACAAAGTATCTTTGTGAGAAAATCAAATACTGCTGTAGATCTCTAGATATAACCGTGAAGATCTGTACATTCTTCATATGTATACGCTGCACTGTATACTAGGAAACACTTTACTGAAAATAAAAATCATCAGGGAATGAATTATATGTAAAAGTGTAACCAGAAAATAGTTCTCAAAAAGCGTTCCTGACATCCCAAGGAACACTGGAGGCACATCAGCAAAAATTGCTGCACTAGCAAACAGTAACACAACAGAGAGTTTGTATGTGTGTAAACAACAACAATCTGAAAGGAATTCCAAAGGGCCCTTCAGAGCACCTTTCAAAAATAAAATCATTTAGTGAATTTTTTATTATGATTAAAAAAGAATGGCTACAGTTAATTGTAGCTTTCTAGCTGCACTGGTTCTCCTCCTCAACACACATTCCCTTCAGATGCGTGACATCAGCCTCCCCTTTGGAGATGCACCTGTGGCCTGGGAGAGCTTCTGGCCAACACCGCCCACAGCATACAGGGGAGGAAGGGAAGGCTGCCCCCTCCTTTCCTCCCCACCCCCAAATCCCTCTGCTAACAAAGAATCCTGAATATGATGCCTCTAAAGGCATGAGGACAGAAAAGGCTCGTGCAGACTAGATGTTTTGAAGAACTGGAGCTGCTTTTTTGGTAAGTTGCTATGTCTGCTCTGTCTAAGCAGATTTCATTCTTGATGACTAAACTAGAAACATTTATAATAAGAAATGTGTATGGGAATTGGATTTACAGTTCAGCAGAAGGAATGCCTACCTAAAGATTGCATCTTAAGACTGGCGTTGTGATGCTATGTGGTCAAATGTGACTTGAAAACTTCTTAAGTGCAAATAATTTTTTTCCCCTCTATCAGGATTTGGAGAATGCCTAAAAAATCAAGACCTCAAACATTATTCAGAAATACCAGTCTGCTGTTGTAAAAAACTGTTCAGGCTTCTGGCTAATGCTGATTTAGACTGGAAAGAAAGAACAGGGAGCTAAATACCACAAATGGTCAGGTCAGAATCTAGCACAAACATTTGCAAGCAGCTACCAAGCCAAAACTAAATGTGACCTGGATGCAAGAGTCTAAGAGCTGCAGACTCCAGTTTATTTTTCAAGACACTTGAGGCTTCATGCACGCAAGAGGCTTTATAAAGTATTTAGTTAGAAGATACTGTGCTTAAAGTGCAGAGCTGTTCTCAGGTTAGTTTCAACCATGATGGTACCAGCATCTTAAAGCTGAGATTCATCCTGAAAATACATAATCTTCTCTTGCTTTTTTTCTGCAGTTTATAACTAGATGAACAAAATAAGCACCTTACTGAAAAAGCAACAGACTTAAAGAAAGCTAATCCCAGAACAAGATATATACAGTAAGCAGAGAACAAAAGTGACTGAAGAACAAAGTATACAAACTGCTATTAGCAATTCTCAGTGCAGCTTGATCTTTTTTCTTCCCCTTTCCCGACACAGTTAAGCCTTTGCTACATCATCCTATGCAAAAGGGAAGCTTCCCAGCTGTTGTTTCCTGAAGCTTTTTTCTTTATAAGCAGTTTGTGTGGTTTACTTGCCACAGTGTGACAAGTAATTTGTTTTTGGCCTCTGCCTCTTTCGCAGACGGCTTAATGACTTTGTGCATTACAAACGAGAACTAGATTTGGTGTTCATCGGACTCCCCGCCTTTGAGGTTTGTCACATCCCATACAGCTACCTTTAGGCAGTTGTAAAAGTCTATAGGGTGGTTTGGAATACATCCTAGAAACAGCATCATCTTAAAATAGCTTTCTCCCTACTACCCATTTCCAGAGCAATAAAGAGCATGTACTTCTCAACAGACCGACTGTGGGTAAACTTCAAAGGAGTCTTTGCTAGTAAGCACTAAAGACTACTTAAAATTGTAAACTTTCTCCATATTGTACAAACAAACTTTGCATCTGTGATCCTTGGGCTATCTTTATAACAGTATTACTAAAGGTGAATGCTCAAACAGTAATATCCATTGCTCAAGTGGATTTTAAACTACTTTACAAAGGCAGAGATTAAAACCGAGGGAGAAGAGATGATACATACTTGAGCTACATAACTATGTGTGGATTAAAAGTCAAGTCTTACCCCTGCCCCCAACAAGTGTTATTCTTCTAGATGTCTTGTACTATAAGCTCCTTGGAAAAGGTAACATCTCTGGTTTTGTTTCATCGTGTGCTGAACAGTACATAAATAATTACTACAGTTCCCAACAGAGATGCGGAAGACGCTGGCTTTGACAAACTGCACGGTGAATCAGCAGTAGAGTCAAGGACAGAATCTGTTTCCTAGATGAACTTCCTAACCTGCTGTTCTGCTTCTTCCATTATCCATCTTGACCACTGCTGTTGAACGTAGCAAACTTACATACATATTTCTTATAGCAAGACAGCTTTATTCAGAGATACTTTGGACATGGTCAGAAGCAGTCTCTGTTCTAACGCTTTGCTATGCAAACACTTGTTACTGGCTTTGAGTCTGGATTTCTTAAACCATTTTATAGCTGGCTAAGCCAGCTACATGGCAACACTAAAGCTGAATACACAAATGATGCAGTGGCTCTTCAACTTTGCTGCTGTCAGTATTAAATATATTTTGAACTTTTCTAATGAACCGGTGCAACCTTTTCACTGTCTTGTTACCAGGTGGGTAAAAGAAACATAAGGACACTGAGATTAAAGAAAGGAAACAACAGACCTGCTGTGCTTTAGACCAGATGATAACCTTTGGCCATACAACAATCTAAAAAGCAAAAACTGGTAACAAGCCTAGAAGTGCTCCCTGGGCTGTTGCTGCATAAACTTTTCTTATCTACAGAGAGTTTGCATATTATTAAGTCACCTTTCTGGTACGCGCTCTTACCTGCTCGAACACCTTCATAGAAGTCATGGCCTCTCTGAAAGATAAAGAAATGAGCAGCAATATAAAAAATTAAATTTATCACATCTTTGCCTAGGGGCTATCCCACTTATTCTGCTTGAAATGAAGTGCTCAGGATTCTGTCAAATCCCGCTTACCCTCTTCATCTAGTCCTACTTTCTCTTCACTTACTAAAGAGCTCTATATTCTCTTGCTTAAATGCAGCCATAACTGTTACGATTTGTGCCTGGATAATTTTCACATAATGGAAGCTCTTTCTGTTACATGTCAGAGTTTTGCATGATGAGGGCGAAGGTGTATACAATAGGACTGAAAATTATTTAGGAAAAGGGCCACCCCTCTCCAGGAATTTTGTGAGGTATTCTGCATACGTAGCGCACCTTGCAGTGGCACAATCCCAGAAATATACTGTTACTTTTGATAAAGGGCAAATATAACATTTAAATCCCTAAGGATGTTTCACTAGCAATGGAGCAGCAATATTAGTTTCAGGAGAGAAACGGCAAGGATTCTGTCAGGCATTACAACATATCAGAATTAGACATACCATGTTCTCGCTTGCTTTTTTTTTTTTTTTTTTTAAGTATTTACCTTAAACATCAGCATTCACTCAATTAGATGCAAAAAAAAAAATTATTTTAAAATGTGACAGAACTAATAAGGCTTCCAAAGGAAAGCTTTGAGGGATTTGTTCAAATAATCCAGTTAGTAACACTGTTCTGCTGGAAGGATCAATTTCTCATGTGTTATCCAAGTACTCACCCTTTACTATAAATAATACTCAAGTCTCTCATTTCAGTAAATCTCCCACAACACTCCTGAAAGGCAGGGTTAAAAAATTGTTCCCATCTCACTGACAGGAACTGAGGTAGTAAGAAGCTAAATAACTTAAATAGGAAATCTGTGCAAGAACTCTAGAGTTTTAGAATTAGGGCTCAAATAAAACACTTTCTGTACTGTAACGTTATCATAGTTTTCTTAACAAAAGCACTGTACCATTCCCATCTGATCATAATAAAATTGTCTCCTTAGAGTTGCATATAAAGACATGGAGGGGAAAAAAAGAAAGCAACAAATGCACCAAAAAGACACTGAAAATAGTCTGTGATGTAATTAATATAAGACTTAAGCTCTGACGCACCGACTCTGGCTAGCCAAAGACAATGTGCGCAGCTCCTTGCTTACCATGCAGGCTTGGCTCAGTCTGTACTCCATCGTCAGGACATCCTGTAAACTCATGGAAGCTCCTTCTCTGAGCTGCCTGAGAGTCATCTTTAAGGATGTAGGTGACATCTTATTAATAGTCTGGGGGAGACATTGACATTTATTTTTATTCTCTTCAGTTTAGACACAGTTAAGTCTTTTTTGTTTTGCATTTTATACTTTGTAAAGTAAATTATGGCACTCTTCTCCCTGAACTCATCCGTGAGATTTCTATCCCTCCTGCTTCTAAAACCCTTACGCTACTTCCAGTGTGTTGTTGGCTGAAGTTCCTTGCACAAACCTTTATCAAGCAAGGTCTTTGGGCTGCCGGCCATCACTTGTGGAAAGCCTGGCCTAGAACTCTTCAGGTCTCACCATTTGATTGAATTACTGCTAGCCAGAGAATCTCATCTGGCTTGAAAATCACTTCCAGACAGATTCTTTTGAGAAGTGGTAGGTGAGTGTTACAGAAGCAAAAGTCAGTGTAAACCTGTCATATGGAAGTGACTTTAAAAAAAAAAAAAAAAAACAAATGAGGTAGATATACTTAAAACCTCTCCCATTCTCCCAATAAAAAATACGATGAGGTGTGGTCTGGTGTAAAATGCTGTCAGTCTCTAATGGATCATTCTTGCCAAGCATGTGTGTGGCAGGGGGGAACAGGGCTGGTACACCACAGCTTTAAGAAGCAGCATCTGTGTCATCTGCAGCTCCTCTTTTAAAACAGAGCAAAAGTTTCTGATCTAGCAGATCAGAGAGCAGATCCCAGATTGCTTCATACAGTCAGACTACAGCGATTGACGGTACCTCTGCTTGTCCTCCAGGCACCACAGTTCACTCTGGAAGTATGCCCTGGGACTGCAGTGAAAAACTAGAATAACTTTTATATTCAGTGGACTTCCTGAACCACAGCAGAGTGAGAAGTGTTTATCACTGTCTCAGCATAATGAATGCTATTGCACATGTATAAGACTGCAGGCCCAAGCAATTAAAATACCTTAGAATGTAATATGATCTGAATTGTTCTTAAATGTTATTGATATTGCAGCTGACATCAGTATGGTACAGCATTTAATTGTATCTGGCACAACAGTCAGAATAGCAAGGTCATAATACTGATTAGCCAAAACATTTCTGAAGTATTTGCATTGCGCACATCTGCAAAGACCAGATAACGTGCCAAGAGGTAAATTTTGGGGGGTGGAGGGGGCCAAAATTTAATTTAAAATAAATCCAACCTAAATGCTTGTCTGTACATGCTTCTTGTCTGGGATCAACGGATACTGCAGTAATCTAGCCCTACTTTGCTCCGCTGATAGGAAGTCTGGAGGTCTTGCCTGCCGCCTTTGACAGAGCTACAGGCTATAAATATTATGCAACAGACAGGATCTGTTTAAGGCACACAAATAAATACTGTAAATCTGGTTCTCATGACTGTCCTTCAATTAATAGCATGCCAGCAAACAGTAGGGGGAGGTGGGGAAAAAGACAAGAACCTAGTTAAGAAAACAGAACGGTTCAGTTAAGAAACTAAAGCTTTCGGGGTTGAGGAGGAAAGGAGCTAAAATCTTAGTCACTGATGTTTTATTACTTGAAACATGACTATTTGTCCCAGTAAGCCCAAGTAAAAGCTCTGCATTATTCACAGTACAACAGACATCTCCTGTGAATTGGGACATCTTTACCGCTCTACTGAAAAGTAGCAGATGGCAAGATTTACCTCTTTGCATTATTTTCATTGCAGACATTAGAATCCAAACCCACAGACTGAAATGGCAGGTTTCCAGTCATCAATGTTAACATTTTTTTTGGCTCCCAATTATTCCTCATCCCTCTCCAGACACCAGCTGATAACAGCAGTGACCCCTTTTGCCTGTTTAAGCCAGAAAACATGCAATTGCTGTACAAGCAGCGGCCTGTGCAATTGTAACTTAAAAGCAAAATTACTGGTTCTGTCATTCTGTTTGACACACGTTGACCATTTTGCTTGAGACAAACCAGTTTAGAAAGAACTAATGCTGCCTTAAATTGTCAACTTTTGTTGTTGCCAGTTCTGGCGAGGTCTCTTGACAACTAGCTTCAACTGAGCAGATAAACTAGCTATGCCTCTTTAATTATGCCATAGTGTAGGTCCGCAGATGTGCAGCAGTTCCTGACTGGATCCCTTTCTTCCCTTAATTGCTTTTGCTGGCCTTATCTTTGAACCTGACTATTTCTCCTTTGAGTTTCACGTTCTGTTGTCTGGATCAGAAAGTCTTTGCTCAGACCAGGCTAAATGCCGTGAACAGTGCAAGCAGATGACTCTCTAGCTGAAATATTAGTTCTGGGTAAAGAAAGCACTGAAACAGGAAAGATCTGAAAACAGCGCTTAACTAATCTAATGCATCTAGCAGCTGCCCTATCTTGGCACATCAATGAGGCTGAAGGTAGAGGAGGCATTGCTATAAATCAAGTTGAAGGAAGAGGAACAAGGAAAGAAAATGGGTAGGTGTAATGTAGAAAAATGAGTCATCAGTGTATCTATAAATAAACTTTCTCTACAAAGAGGAGGAAGCGATCAGTACTAGGAAACAAGCCTGAAAAAATAGATGAGATAGGCTGAACTAGGAAGGGAAATACTAAAATGCAAAGAAGGCTTCATAGAAGCATTTGACATCTATTCTGGTATTTTTGAGATCATCTGTATTTCAATGTACTGATCCTGACATCTACAAGTTGAACTTCCAATACAGCTAAATTCCAGTAAGATACTATCAGAAGGTGACAGAATCAAGTCCCTTACAAGGATAACAGCTGGAACAGTTGCTGTATCTTTTGTCTCCAAGGCCCATTAAAGTTTCTGACCTGAACCTGAGGTGCTGAGGGTCCCTGAGAGAAGCTTGCTTTAAATTAAACCAAACTAACGCCCAGAGGTCCAATGTAAAATTCCCTGCAGTAGATGCAGAGTGAGCATCTGCTCATCGCTCACTCTCTCAAACATCAAAGCATTTGTTTGTCTGCACCAAACCAGCATGCTTCTGGGTAAGCTTTGACAAAATGTGAACATCTAGCCAAGATGTCACAGGGAAGTTGCTTAAGGAGAGGTATACCAGTCTTTTACTGGTCTATTAAAGGAGCATTCTGAAATTTTGTTACTTTAATTCAGCATGTGCAAGAAACCATTCAGCTTCATCCCTCTGATCCGTCTTACCAACTGCTGCATGCCCACTTAAAGTTTCAGGAATCCCAGCCTGACCCGTTGATCTGTACAAGGTATCTCCTAATTCTTACAGTCTCTGCAATGTCCTGTACGCAACACTGGAAATCACTCAGTAACAATGAAGAAGGTGATCAAATCATGAAATAACAATGCTCAGAAGGTGCAATGTCCTGCCAAAAAAGCCGTAAGAAAGCACTGTCATGTGAAAACCACGTCTTGTGCTTTTCAGGTTTCGTCTCCATTTGCTTACTTCATCCAACAAAAAGTGGTAATTCTGTCATTCTGATTGAAGTTTTTGGCTTGTGTAACTCCTCAAAACCAGTAAATTAATGCTATAAAGTGAAAGGTTTTTAAAAGTCTCTTACCAGTTCAAAAAGCCTAAGTGTTCGTAGTCTAGCTTTCTACCTATTGGTAGCTGGGTTCAAAATGTGATACAAATCATTGTTATTCTTGAATATAATTTTAACAACTTTAGAGTCTCTTTATTTACGCAAACCATAATAGGATCTCAGAGAGGTGAAAGTCTGCCAGGCAGGTATGTTTTAAAATTAAAAAGCAGAAGTATTATGGATCAGACAGAACAGGATACTATCCTAGGATAGTATGGCTCACAGTATACTTGGATTATAGTTGAACTATTACTTCCATTTTATTAACATTAAAAGTATCTGCACATTCAAGGTATGAGACCTCCAAAACAGGTATTTAGTATCAGACTTTCTGTCAGGGCCTGTTCAACAAGCTTATTAATACATACCATAACAAATATACAGAACAGAAAAACAAGAGTACGAACAAACACCTCTGTCACTGAAGCCATTATAGTCTCCGTACCTATCATTTCAAGGTGCCGTTGTTCCTGAACCTCGACTCCAAAGGGAAACCTTGGTCCAATGAAGATGATAGCAAACTATTGTCTATGAAAAATACTACTGGCACTACAATATTACTGATAAGAAAAATGACTTGGTTGACACAGGTTTGTTAAACCACTGTCGAGGTTTTCTTACCTCAGGTTGGCATGATTTGACTGTGTTCCCTGCTCTAGCCAGTCCTTCGCACTCTGATCTCTGAGCAGCGTGAGAGCAGGCCACTGCCTCGTCTGCCTGTGCTACAAAATGCTCTACCACCAGAGCATCAGTTCCTATTCTTTCTCCAGCTAAAACTGTTTGTTTACAATTCTGCTGTTTCTCTCGTAAAACAAAAATTCCAGTTTAGTTGGCAAGCATTTCCTGTTGCAATCACAGACTTGTGATTTCTGAGTCCTTTTAAACATACTTTTTCCCCAAATGTATTTTTATTCTATGTAAAAGAGCCACAAAACCAAAAAAAGAAAGGAAGTATGTGATCCTACAACCACTTGCTGCTTAGCACAGACTGTGTGCTATTAGTAATTTGACTTAATTTGATGTACTTATTCATGATAAGAAGCCTTGCGCCTGCTAGAAAATGGTTTTGCAAAATTTGAAGATCTCTGTACAGACAGAAGGGACTTATGTTAACATAATCCTGACTCTGGTACAGAACAGTCAATAGAGATTTGCTTAGGAATTGCAGTCAATTCCAAGGATAAATTCATTAATGAATCATCATGCAAGGGAAACAATCTGATATAATGTCCTATTAAATCCATGAACTAAGCAAACTGAAGAAGCAATAAAAATAATGCATTTTTTGTTCAGAAGTTAAAAAAAAAAAAACTTTCAATTACTCAACATTATAACTTTAAACCATGTCATCTGCTTCTAACTTAAAAATACAAAACAAGTACACCTCCTAAACCATAAGAGCCAAGAACATGTATTCACTTATTTATATGGGAGATCTGAGTTATATGGTTGCAGATGGGAGAAAGGAAGTGGAGCAAGTTTGGCTAATTGGAGCAATTTTGACAGAACAAACTATCCAGTTACCATACTTATGTACCAAAGCATTTCCAGGATTCTTGCATCTTTTGTAACAGAAACTGTATTTTGAACAGACAAACCATCCTTTATAGCCTATACTCTATTTAGAAAATTCCATTACATCTAATTATGTTTTATAGTGCCATAAAGTTGTATAAAATTAACTTAGGAAAAGCTATCTGCAAATAATTCTTGATGGTTTGCAACTTCCACTAAAACTAATCCATATGAAGTTAAATATCATTCTGCAATGAGATTATAAAATCCACAAATAAAATCTAAAAATAAAATACTATCTTCTAATTCAGTATTATAAAGAGTGACTGCCACTTGCATGCTATCAAACTGTTTCATAAACCTTAACAGAACTACCTTCCCTGCCATCTATAAGATAGGGGAAAAAATGAAGAACTGAATCATATAGGCTGTATGACTTGGAGAAAAATCATGATGGAAGTCTGGCAGAATTCAGGTCTCATATCATCTAAATGATTATCCTTGGACTAGCTTGTTTAACTGTTTTCTTTAAGGGCCCTTGAATATAGGTGGAAAAATTAAGCCTTGTCTTTTTATTTGATTTTGTTTTTGTAATATATTTATTTTATACTCTTTGTGAAGTACTGGGCATACTGGTTGGCACAAAGGTATTTCATAAATTGCTTTCCTCAGAAATACATTATTATTTTTTGCAGTTTGTAATTAAAGACCAAATGCTTTGTCACTCACAAAACCTCTGGAACGCTCAAGCGGACTTTGAGAATGCTGCTGTATCTGGGTTACCCCAAGTAAGGATTTAATAATATTGCAACACTTACTGCCCCAGTACCGTCCTGACAGGACCAGTACAGGATGCCTAGTTCCTTCTGCTCAAATGAAAGTGTGAAGATGATGGATGTATTTTATTTTAGTACAAGAGCAGGAGTTTTTCCATAAGCTCTAACCAAAGTTATATTAAAAGTTAATTTTTGTTGGAGAAATGCTTGCGTTCTATCTGATTGTAAATAATATCTGAATGGCCCCCCAAACGAAACATTTATAAGCCACCTGAGTGGAGATGCTTCAAAAGAAAAATAGGGAAAACATAAAGATGTTATATAAACGTACATGACCAGAAGTGGCTTCTTGCTTCAGTAATGAGGCTGAAGCGTGCAGCTGAATTACTGTGTTATCACTGTACTTTTGTGAGTAGTGGCTACATCCAACACTCAGCGACGCATTAAAAAATAATTTTAAAAAACTTCCTGATGATAAACTGCTTGCTATTTACTCAAAGGAGGTTTCTGAAGGGGAGGAAAACCAACAACACTTTTCTAGTACTTCTTTACTCCAATCCACAGCAATAAAATGAGAAGCTGTAAAAGGAACCTTTTTCCAATTCAGTAGATTGCACTTTTATGCAATGCATGATGGTATGTACACTCTGCGGTTTCATGTGTACAGATGAATAGTCATGTTTGAGTAAGACTACTGACAATGCTATAGGACTACAGGTGAGAACCTGAGGGTCATAGTCCAGTGTCCTACTGGTGTTACCCAGTCTCAGTTACATTAAATAGGATGACTACAGACTGCCCCAAGGTAAGAAAGTACAGAATCAGGCTTAACATCTTTAACAAAAATAACAAAGAAGACATTACCTCTAGCTGCTTCATGGCAAAAGCAGAGCCATCCTGCTTCAATTTTTTAACTATTTCTTCCATGCTATTTGCTGAAAAAATACTAAAACAAAAAGAAATCTTTTATCAATAAATGAATGAATTGCTTCAGCCTTCCTCTTCTCTGTGAAATGCTGGTAGCTTACAGAAATTAGAAATAGAGAACTTAGCCTGAGTGTTTGCTTTGTTCGCAGCAATATATTCTGTGCTGTTCAATTTTAAGTAACTCAATTGACAGGCATCTTCTATTTACAAATCTCTTAACATTCTGATGTTTATCCAAAATCTCTGTTCAGTTACTATCATCTGTTTTATCTACGTTTTTATAATGCACCAAATCCTGTGCCATCAGCTCCATTTTATCGGTTTGACATTTATACCTTTTGCCTCTAGTTACTGCCGTTCTTCACAATTTTCAGCTTCTTTCTGCTCTTATCTCTCCCTCCCCTTTCCTTTCTGACACACATAAGCCCCAAACTAACCATAAAAATGGCCTCACACCAACGAGCACAAATGCATTCCGTAATGTTTCCCCACCAGCTGAACAGTTAGTCTCACAAAATTCCCTAATTTCCATAAAAAATGTTTGTTTTAATGGGCTATAGGGCGGTTGCTTTTAAGAATTATGTATGAATCGGGCAAAATGTTTAATTATTTAACACCTTGATAAGTGTAGGATCTGATGAGTTTCAAGTAAAGCACGCTAAAAAGAAATGTTTAAAGGACTACCTTCATTATCATTTCTATCACCTTACCTGTTGAGCACTGATATTGTTACTGGATTTAACTTCATGTTTTCTCTCCAAAAGAATAAAAAGGAAGAAAAATCCCAGATTACCTGTTAATCTTCTCCATATGTTCATCAAGTACAAACGCCTTTTCTTGATCAATTTTGCTCTATTTAAAAAGCAAATATGTATTTTATTTTATTTTCAACCATCTGAAAAGTCAGCACTGAAATATTTGCAGAAATATCACAGGTAGATCATCGGATGTTCATAAGACCACAATTTTTAATGATATACAATTTTACCGTATGTATAAGTGAATTTGTCATTTCACGTTTTGAATGTTAAAGGTGCCATCTCATGATGCAGTGCTGGCTTTGAGCTAGACTATGTGGGTATTTGTGCTTATCTTGTACATAAATCACAACTGTTCTATCAATACATCTCTGCATCAAATACACTGAGGAAGCTGGTGCAGATAAATCCCAGAGAATATAAAAGCAAGGAAATAGATTTCCAATACAGAACACATTTGATTCTCTTTTTTTCTTAGTTATAATAGCACTTACATTTATATAGCGAAAAAAGGACAGAACAGAAAGAATACGTCTCTTTTCCTCTTCTTTCTCTCACTCACTTTATAAAATTTTATTTAGTAGAAATTATCTAGAATGTGCTTTTTGTTTAGAATCTTATTCTTAGCACCACATCCTATTTTTGCGCTTTCTTGTTTTTTTAGATTTATATATTAATTTCAAAAGTCTAATTTTGATTCACAGTTACAGTCTTTTCTAATAATCTAACATGTCAGCTACTATTTATAATTCACCTTGATTTGCAGACAAATGCTGGGGCTTAGGGTTTTTTATTATCTTTCTAGTTTCCCTTAATACTAATGCAATGTTTATCCTTTACAATTAAATAGGCAACGTTTACACAGCGCCATTAAGTACGTAACAATTTTGCATTAACTAGTTTTCACTGACCCCTGATCTTGATGGACAACTAAAGAGACTGAAAGATCTGATGGATTTAAGTGGAAAGTGTGACAAATGTTTTGGACCTGCTGGCACTGAGGGGTTTAGGACATAAACAGATGTTTTGCTAGCAGCAGCTGAGGCTGAGAAATAGGTTCCCTGTTATTCCAGCTCTGATAACTAAAAATAAGCAGCTTCCTTTTCTATTAAATGTATACTGCTTTACAAGATGACTTCAACACATAATCAGTCCTATTTTGTAGCTTTCTATTTTGTCAAAATAATCAGTACCACTGTGTAAATTAGCTTACCCCATTTATTTTTCTAATTAATTTTCAAATGAGAAGTTCGTAATTCTAGAACAGAAATAGAGTTGAGTAGACACTGCTCATTTTAAAACGAAATAATTGGGGAATAATACTCAGGGCGAAGGAGTATAGCGAATCGTTGTGAATCTCCAGAAGTTTCCTCTCTTTTGAAATAAAGCTGTAAAGCACAGTTAAATGCCTAAAATGGCCACTAAATAAACTGATTGTAAAGCCAAAACCTTTAACTGTCACGCACATTGTTAAATGGGACTAACACCAATACTACTCATGTGATATGAAAGCAGTTAAATTCCTCTCCAAAATCTCAACAGAGAGAATTATGAATTTGTCCACTGGCAAAATGGCACTTTCCTCCTCCTTAAATATTGCTTTAACATCTCAAATGTCGTCACTCGAGCGTATCTTGACTCTGCTAATACATTAGCATCTTGAGAGCTGCTGTGCTTATTTATGGTCTTTTAATAAGTATTTCAAAGTTACAAACATAAAATATTTTCAAAGAACAACTTAAGCCGTTAAATTCAGGCTTCAAATCTGGACTGTAACCAATTTGCATCAAAATAACACCAAAATTTATATTAAATGCATCAGGCTAGCATAATATTTCTTCAGGTAGATAAAATTCCTGGGATGGAAAGATAAGATCCACTCCAAAGCGAGCAGCCTAGCTCGTAGCGACTGGCGCTGTAACTGCTGCAGCCTTTGGACTGGGACACTAGTTCTATCCTTTTCATTTGTGTTTCTCAGAAACCCTGAATTTCCGGAGAACTCCCTGACCGCACTTGCCATCATGCTCTGTATGACTGTCGCTTGGTTAGAGGTTGTCTACTTTGCCCTCTGCAAAGTGTGCTAGAAATTCAAGAATAATAGAGGAAAAAATAGTAACCAGCGATACGCAGTTCTGTACTTTTAGCATCATCATGCTACTGGATGAGAACTTACATATATACGCACAGAGAAAGAGAGAGCTTTCAGTAGTTAAAAATGAATAAAAGGTAGAAAGTAAAGAAAGAAATAGACCTTTACATTTTATTTTCAATTTGACACTGTAGGCATTAATGCTACCAATCAGTATTTTATAGAGTTCGGATAGGTTGGAAATCCATTACTTTTGTAACCATAAAACAACGAATCAGTAGCATGAAAAAAAGAATTTGTGTTTTCACATATTTAATTAACAATTCTCCTTGATTTCAGTTCGGGATAGTAATTAATCAGATTACCTTCTCATGGTAAGAGTTCAATACTTCTGCAATACTTTCTATTGAAGGAAATTTAAGTGCAATCAAGTCTTCCTCTAAGGCAGATAGCTATTAAAAAAAAAAGATAAAAGATTTAATTAAAAATAGATAAAATAAAAGGTACTTCCTGGATTACTATTACTATGTTTTGCTACTATATTTTATATATATTTTATATGTGTGTGTGTATATGCGCATACTATAACTATATATATTAACTATTACAGAGAAAAAAAAACTTTTGGCCAGACTTAAAGAGGTACCAAGCAGACAATAGAAGAAGCAGGAGTTCCGCTTTTCAGATGTGTTGAAACATCTGGTTTAATTATGCCTGCAGTGAACAGCCAAGACCTCTGCTTCCCAAGCAGACCCACAGACTACAGCTAAGGCAGGCAAAGCCAGCCTACGATAGTTCAAGATAAAACAGCAAGAGCCTGGCAACTGTACTGTGCTTGAACAGCATTTGTTAACCTATGTGTCTAACCAGCTCCAATAGGGCAGAAACAGTGACAGTGACTGCCTCTTTCACCTCCCCCCAAATCTGAAAACGTAGCATCCGCTGTTAACTCTGGAATGTTGTCCACAGTGCCATTAAGCCTGGTCTTTAGAGGAGGAAGGCTGTCTTTCCTTCATGGTACAAGAACACTGTCCCTTCTGGTTTTATCAAAGAGGCTAATTTTTACATTCTCTTCCAGCCACTGTAAGAAACAAATAGGGTATCTATTACAGAGAATGATAACATATTGATGGGGTATTATCTAAGTTAGAGATTTTGTAGTTGTATAAATAACCTCTCCTTTCAGACACTGTTGCCTAAATTGTATTCACAAAGCAAGCAACAGACATGGTAGAGTGGCAAGATAGCGTGAAGATAGAGCATGTAATTTTCCATCAAGTAACTTCAACTGTGCCTAGTTTATCAACAGTGGAATCATCTGAACAGAGAATCACTGGTTCCCTCTACCAAGCTGTAACTAGCTAGCAAGCATCATAATGACAGCTTGAGAGCATGTTATGGTCCCCATACGCAACACAGAGCCGGCTAAGGTACCTGTGCCTCTGCATACAGGCATGCTGGCAAACGTATACTGGCGTGCTGAAACAACTCAGCTTGTCATTATGGTAGTAGGTTAAGCTCCCGCTCATACTGGCTAGCAGTTTACCTTTTCTGATTCTACAAAATGTGTAGCGATGCCTGCTTTTTGCACATCTCTTCCTTTTAGCCTAAATCCTGTTAGTGCAAGGTAATAGCCAATCTTTCCTGAAAGTCTTGGCAAGAAATATCCTCCACCTACATCGGGAAAAAGGCCTGTAACGAACGAAACAAAACAAGTGAAGGGAGAACCTGTTATCCTAATCACAAATGTAACTCAGTAGTAATTTATTCTTGTCTCACTTTCATCTCCATGAGTTATGTATGGCTCTCTTGCCTGAAGTTTCTCCTTGACTTAGTTTGACGTTTGTCCATCATCTCAGTCCTTTCTAAAAGTAAACTCTTGAAAAACACCTTCCAAATTGTATCTTTTTCACTGGCACATAATTTACCCACATATGCCAAACAACAAACTTCATTCTATTTGCCTATAACCTCTTCCTGAAACATTTTTAGATGCCTGACAGATAACGTGCATGCTCCCAGCAAATAACAGAACTGACATAAAGAATTGTGAAATACTTTGTGCAAATTCAAACTGGAAGCTGCTTTTTCTCCGAAATCTTTTATTATGATAATAACCTCAAATGATGAAATTACACCTACCTCTTGCACAGCAAAGCTTGAACAAATATTTGGTCTGACGGTTCATTAACAGATCAGCACTATTTCACTTACAAGTAATTGCCTTAGGTCACAAAAGAGTAGCTGTACGTGTTATATAAACGTTCACTAAAATGTTTTAAGATGGGGTAATTAGTGTCCTTTGAATATTCCTCTCCTTTGGATGTAATCAAGGAAAGGTTTCCTTAAAACTGCTTCTCTTCAGTGTTCTCCTCCTCAGTAACCCCTACAAGTACATCACTGCCTTATGTTCTCAGTCACCTCTCAGACTCTCCTCCTCCGACTCCCTTTTGATCCTCCCTAAGTTCTGCTACCTCTTAATGCTTCATGAAATTGTTTTTAGGAGTCACTTCCTACCAGTTATAATTACACTAATCTATTCTCATTCCAGCTGATGTGTGTGTTGCTATTAACTGATTTATTTCCTTCCTATAGGCTGCTGAGAAATGTAGCTCTTCTAAAATGCTGAAAGTCTTGTTAGTACCTTTCACAAGCTCTAAGCTGCATTATCCTCAGCTCATCACTTACCCTCGTTTTCATCTGTAGTCACTTGCTGAACAGTTTACTCCATATTTCACCTTCTCAGTTTGAGCCATCATATACATAATGTTGATGTCAAGACTATACACAGTTTTATGTTTCTATTCATCTGTCTCCTCCTGGATTTCCTACTCCTGCAACAAATCCTCTCATTTCAAAATGAAATTCTCTTAAAAATGCTCTCCAAAGCGAAAATGACAATTATATTATTCTCCCTATCCACTCAGACTGCAATTACAACAACCTTTTCCTCCTTGCTGTAATTAAAATATTGATGCTGAAGTTCTCCTCTTTCTGTTCTTCAGTAAGCTCCCTCAGATTCCAAGTAGCAATCTTCATGCTAGTATTTTACAGGGCGCTTCCACAGGGCAAAACACAAGAAAATAAATTCTATATAAACTATAAAGTTGAGTAGTTTAACTTAATTTGATTTAGAGGTGAATAAAACTAAATTGAATGAAGGTCCCTTTAAATCTTAAGAAATCTACAAATAGGGTAAATGAAGGTGCAGCTAATCCAATTTAAACTTACTCTATTGCATAAGCAAGTCAACTATAGCTTCTGCTGTCTCCTGTTGAAGGGCCCTCCCTGTCTTCCTTTCCTCTTACAATATTCCTCTTCTTGCACCCCTGTTGCATATATTCCTCTTAATTCTCTCAGTACTGCTTCCCACATCTTTCTGCCTGCTGCCTGGTTTATCTTATCATATTCCACACACTTGAAAATTTTTCCTTTTGGCAGTGTTTACCAATCACTTCTCAAATCCCTACTTAAATATGAGAAGACCTGAATGTCTGTTGGACTGACCAAGCGAAAAGCGTGCATCTGGAACCGTGACTTGCAGTCTAAATTCTGTGACAGATGGAATGAGCTTCTCTCTGGTCCCAATTGTAAAACTGTCTCTGCTGTTGCCAAGTGTAAGATAAAGGTACTACTGCTACATTTCCACCTTATCTTGCAGAGGTAGCTGGAGATTTGTTAGTAAATGACTTACAGAAATCTGAAAGTTTAGAGGGATATACAAAAAAGTGTCAATTATTACTATAACTGCACCTTACAGCCCACTTCTTACAATATACTTTTATATTTTGGTCTTCAAGTCCGTGGTCTTTCCACACCCTCCTACGTATGAGCTGCTTTGCTATGTTTTATCTGACCTATGTCAGTTTGAAACTCCTACAAACTGGAACTCTGTCTTCTATTTTTATTTGCAAAGTGGCATACATAACATCACTTTGTATTTATGGTGGTGTATAAGTGCATAAATAATTGCATGAAAACACAGCAGCTCAGTGAACGCTTTGTTTTCTTTTCACAGAAAAGGTGTGATGCCTACTGAAATAAGTGAACATACGAAAAAGATCAATTAATACAGTATCTAGACAGCTAGGCTTTTTAAAGATACATCACAGAGCTCAAAACACAGCTAAGCCCTTAAATCCAGATAGTTTTCAGTGTTTTGGCTTCTAATTGATGCTAGAAGGGTTTAATTACTTTCTTCCCTAAGCAAGTTCTAAGCTTTTCCTCCAGAGATCTTCACGGTTTATTTTTGTGTAAACAAGTCCCTGTAAACATAAGACATGTATGTAAAAAACATCATATTTGCTAACATAGGACTATTCATAGCTCTACCACTGAACAAGAAATCAAAGGTATCTTTATTGTTAGAATAATTTAACACGTGAAAGCATTTCTCTGTTTACATTAAAAAATATATTTAGCTTCAAACACTTTTGTTGTAGAACAACTGATTATGAATCTCGTGAGTTTAGTAAATTCATGTAGCGTTAACATTTGAACTATTACTAAGTTGTCTGTTAGCAGAGACACACATTTGGAAGACCACAATAGATTTTTTTTTTCCTCATCCTAAACTTACTTGTTCAGAAAAACTACATGACACTATCTGCTAGCAGGAAACTGCTCTATATTTTTTTCAGGAGTTATAATGCTATTGAGCTTGCTTATATTTGGGGGGAGGAATTTGGAAAGTTTTGCTAGACCTTCAAGGTTCATTTAGTATTTTAAGAATTTCAGAATGAGTCTTATGAAATGCTTCATATAGGCTGGATATCAATAAACAATAGACAAAATGTGTAAGATATCCTTTAAACAAATGAAAAACATTGTGTCTGCTAAGCCTTACTAACAGACACTAATCATTAAAACACTACTAGTGTACTACAGACACTAAAATCTAATCATTAGCTCAGCATGCATTAACTTCAGTTGTAACGACACTGTTATATTAAAAACATTCTCAATAAAATCTGTAGCAAAGACTGTTAGTTCCTCACGTTAATTTCCATTTTGAAAAAATTGTATCTTGATAGTCTTTATGTCAATCAGTATAGACAGTAAGCTCTGGTGTGAGAACCTCAGTGATCAACTTCCCAGAATACAGACATAAGAATCTATTAATTTAATAGAAAATAATTTTAATAGATGGTCATCTCTTTTTTTAAGGGATTTTAAAATACTTCATTACCTCCACTCCTTTCAGTCAAACACCTCTTATCCCAGTTACATGAACAATGACACTTGAAACATATTAACATATTATAATATGTTGAATACTTACCTATTGCTGTTTCTGGCATTGCAAAAAGTGTCTTTTCCGTAGCAACTCGGAAATGTCCATGAACTGAGAGGCCAACTCCCTATTAGGGGAGCACAAACCAAAAAAACTGTTATAAAACTGCTAGCAAAAATAATCATAACTATAATCATAAACAACACACCTCTTGCTTCTCTCTGAAATTAATAATATTAGATTTACTATGCACACCTCTCAAAAATATTAAAAGGCCTTTTTTGATTCAAACACGAATAAAGCACCATTCTACCTTTATGATTTGATTAAAACAGAATTCAATGCTTTAACAATTTGCAGTCATACAGAGATTAACTTCAAAGAGCCCATTAGTGAGAGGAAGAAGGGGAACAAGTGACACTTTCTCCTTTAAACTGCTAACGAAGGTGACATCACTTTGCTAATGTCATTTTCTCTATGACTTTTGTACATGCAGCCGCCAACAAAAAAAACCTATGGAATATACGTGAAGTCCACAAAGCTGTAATTATGACACTTTCAAAAGAATTAAATTTAGCTATTCTTAAAATGTGATAATTACCAGCTTTATCAATATAAAAGTATTAAAAAAGGAAAAGCCTTCAGCTTTACTCATTAAAATTCAAAGTACGTGCTTGGAAACTCAATTTTACTTAACCTGGCAACTTCGGTTCTCCAAGTCAGACACGGTATTCACGCTGCTAAGCACCTAGCCCTCTTTTGTAGCAATCTTGCCTGAGGAAATACTTTCTTCAAGACCACAACTTCTCCTATTTTTACATACCGTGTTTTCTGATTTAAACAGTGAAGAGCAGCAAGGGCCAAGAAAAATACATTTTTTATTTCACACAAACTGATGCTCAGTAGGCAAATTGATGTATGTGAAGGGAAATGGTTATCTGGCAAAATTACTATTACTTAGGTCGCTTCGATCAAGACTATTTGGATTACTGGGCACAACCACGACATATAGGAAAAAGAGCCTCACTTTTTAAAGTTTATTTACATGATACCTATCAATAGAAAATGTGTGTTAGATCCTAGCTGGTTACAAATACCCTCTATTGAATATTTCATAAGAAGTTGCTTTATATAAATATTTTCTTTCTCTTCCTTTCCACCGTTTCAGTTTACTTCCTTTCCTCACTGTTAAACGTTCATCTGCCTAGTCCTCCTATCCATTCCATTCCTCTATCTAAAACTAAATATATTTTAGAAATCTTTGCTCAAAAGAAGTCACTGTCTAGTGAAGGCCGAACAGATTTCTAATTTTTAGATATGAGAAAGATAGTGCCTTACCCAACTAGGATTACGAGTTGTCAAAAATGTCTTCACAATATTTTATGTTCTCCACCAGAAACAATGCAATTAACTGGGTGATGCCTGCATGGACCAGCAGTAAGTTTGATAGGCTTTTAGGGAGAAAGTAGAACATCTTTTCATTTTGCTTATCAACAGATATCTTTGGGTGGCTTTTGTATTAAAATTTTAAAAAGTTATTTCCAATAAAAATGGCATTCATCCTCATGTGTTCTCCTCTGGCCTCTTACAATTCTGCCCAGCATGAAATCATTATCACTGCTTATTCCGTTACGGTGACACATGATTAGATTTGAAAATACCTTAATTTTTTTCTGTAAAATGTATACCCACATATATCAATTTTTAATATAATTGTATGAAGTTTTAAGGATACTAGTTTAATTTTCTAAGAAATGGACACTTCATATTTTTGGTTATCATACTTGATTTTATATCCAGAGATTAAGCCAAATCTCTACATATGAAGTACTAAAGATTTGAAGAGAAAAACGAGTTTTGAACAAATATCTGAAATTCATTTGCCTAGGGAACAATCTTATGTCTCATCCCTTATCTGTCCTTCAGCCCTTTCATTTGACGACTATACCTCAAAGCTCTGGTCAAAGGTTGTAGATCTCACGTGAGCAGCAGAAAAGGCAGCGGCCCTCTATTTAGTTCTCTTGTAAATGTAAAGTTACATGACAAAATTCCATTCCCTCATTAAAAAGCTCTATAAAAATTCTTAAATAAATTCTTAAATAAATAAAATGGAAATAAGACTTCAACATATCTTCAATTCCTGTATTAGATCATACCAGCGTATTTTCATTGCACTGATTAAAGCTTTTTCTATAGCAAGATAAAGTAAGATATTTTGCTGTTATTTGTATGCATGTTCAGCAATAACCACCAGCTGTTTATAAAGATAACTTGAAATAAAAAAGCCCCTTTTGCTCATTCTGATGCTTAAACTTAATTTTTTTTTAATTTTATATCTAAGAACGCAAATAATGTTCATCATAAAGCATTTTTTTCTGGCCTTTTTCTACCCCATCAGAAGTTTGTATACAAAGAAAGACTCAATTTTTCAGCTTGATGAATGGAGTAGTGAAAAATGGAGTGCTAACTCCATGAGGAGAGCTTCTCTTCCAAGTTTAGGGTTTTATTTTTAGAGTGATAAAAATAACCGTAGAGTTTTTAACAGTAAAAAAAAGTTGAAAGAAGTAACTTTCATTAAATCCGATTTCACTTTCTTGAGTACTTAAACCGTAACTGGATTTTTAACTGCAGCTTTCTGAATTCAGCTGAACAATAAAATTTATTTCCTGTTTTTTTCCTGCAGCATCTGGCACCATGGGGAGTCCAGGAAGCCTAAAACTGAAAGAACTTCCCTTTTTTTAGTGTCTTCCAGTCTATTCTTATGGGAGGTGAGGGAGGGGAGGAGAGGACAGGGAGGGCAAGAGGGAGACCTCTGGACAAAACAAAATATAGATGAAGTTTAAGATATGAGAAAGAGCACCTGCATCCACAAATATGGACAGGAAAAGAAAATTAAATTCTGGGAGACCAGCTCTGGCTCTTTGTCCCTCTGTATCACCTAAAAATCTAGCTACTACAAGCAATGTATATATATCCATCTCACTACATCTTAATGTCTGCAGGGAATGCAGACAGGTGGGAGAGGACCTATTTCAGCAAGGTGCCTCAACACTTATCTAGGCTTTTAAGTTTTTTCTCTAAAAACTGAACAGAAAATTCTTGTTCTTAAAAGACAGGCACATGCTACAGAACTTTATTTACACAGGGGCATAGTTTTTTGGGGATGACAGGAGTGAACTGAGGGGATTCTGTCATGATGTTTTATTTCTTAGGGAAAAGAATGCACAAAAAGTAGAAGAAAGGAGACAGATAAATACGAAAACCCAAGGAGAAAATGAGCATTCACATTCTCCTGGAAATGAGAAAAATTAGCAGAAATATGAGAGGATGGAGGCAAAGATAATTCTCTTCAGAACTTTTTCCTTGATCTCTAATAAAGGGACGGAGAGGGAAATAATGAGATGAGAAAACTCTCAATACAGACATCTATATGGAGGCACAGAATTAGAGAAAAAGAGTGGGACGCCTAGCAAGAAAGAAATTGGTGTTAGGCAGAAAGAACAAATCTGCAAGGAAGCCTGCACAATCTCTGCAACGACACTCAAATGTGCAGGGGTAGAAAAGCTTTCCATGAAGCCACAAATAAAACCTCTTTTAAATACATAAAAGCTTCACAAAAAATAATAATCTAGAAAACACAGCTTAAAATCTCAACTTTAGTCTGAGCACACAATTGATGTTTGCTCTATGAGGTGGTCTCTCTCTTTCTCATTGCTTTGTGCAGGA